CTTGTTTTCCTAAAAATTGTATTGTATAATGCGCGCATACATATATGCGGGTAATAAGAAGTAATATATGCCGCTCGCAATATCGAGTACGGAGTTTGCAGGAAAGTTTTTCATTTTTTTTTCATTTTTATCGCATCGCGTGAATATGCATATAGGCAGGGCGATGGAATTTTCTGAAACTATAGCAACCCTGCGCGAGGCAACAGAGTGGCGAATGCAATACGGCTGCATTTCAACGGTGCAGTACGAACAGCCGTGCTGCGACGACAAATGTGGAACGCTTCTCTTTATACTTTATCCTTGCTGCTAATTCGATTTGAATATCCAGGATATCGATGCCCGAGATGATAGAGTGAAAGTGAAATAGAGATGAAATAAAACGGGAGATAAGAAAATAATACAAGTCACAGTTTTATACAATGTTTGCTTATGCTGTAAAAGAATTGCATGTATTATAATTACAATTATTATAGTGGGTAACATTGGGACGATATATTTACATACATCAGTAAATTTACACCTTGTACTCTCGGGAAAAAAAGACAGTAACCCATTTTGGGGCCCACAATTAGTAATCGAATTATTTGGATTGTTCGTAACTTTAACCTTTTACGAATTTTACCCCGCGTAACTAAAAATCGCAAGTAGTAATCGTAATCAAGCTAAGGGACTCATTTAATAACATCCAAAGTTAGACAATAATTGTTAAAAATTCTGATCCTCGTGGATTCGAAAGAAATATGCCTTTATTTCATTTCTATTTAAGATGCCGAAGCGCGTGTATTTATTAATTTCGCATCTTACACGGAGAGATTTGTCTTTCAGAGTTTATCCTGAAAATCATAGTAGTCGTGGGACAATGTGCATTTCGAGGAATTTTATGGGAACTTTTTGACAATTATAATACCATGTATGTTAATAAAACTAATCAAACTAATTATATATTTTATTGTGGTAGATATTAATCAGGAAAGCTCTTGTAAAATTCTACGAAATGCCATATCCCACGATTACCATGAATTTCAGGGTAAATTCTAAGAGAAAATTCTCTCCATGTGTACAAAAGACTTAGCAATAGATTGATAAAATATTTAAAAAATGTCAAGTGTCGAATTTGCTGAAGCGAAAACGTTGGAAAGCACTGAAAAGCAAACCACGACACATGTGATTACTAACGATCGCAGCGGCAACCGAGTGCATTTCCCTATTAATTTCGGACTTGGAAAATTCGCATGGGACTCCCGTTCCCCCGTCAGGAGTCAATGGACCTCTCCGTTGCGACAGATGTGCGTATCGATTTCGGGACGTGGTCGATTCGCGCGTATCCCCGAACGAACGCGATAGCGCACGCCACGTTCTTTGAGATACCGCGCGACTCCTCGTGCATGCTGTCTTCGTGTCGTCTCGTCTCGTCTCCCCGCTTCACGTTACGGCGGCATCAGCGTCGGCCAGCAGGCACACACGCAGCGCGAAGCAGGGGGTTCTGCTGGGGAAGCACCTGGAGGGGCCACTGGGTGGCCGGCATCACCCTCGCCAGGTGGCTGCAACTTGTTGTTGCGGGACCCCGCGACCTACGTGGGCCTTCTTTCTCCCCCTTTTATGTGCCCTCCTACCGTCTCCCTCCTCCTCTCGTACCCCTCTTTCTTGTGGTACCATCCATACTCCACGATTGTGCATGTATGGCCACATAAATCGGTATTTTCATTTGTTTCGTAAAAGCGAGGACGACGTTTTGAATCGGAAAATTGAAATTTTGTGGGGAGGAGGGGTGGAGGAGGGCGATGTGGAAACAGCTGTGAGATGGACTACGATTGAACGAGCAGTCGCGGCCAGTTGCATCGCAGCGAATGCAATTGTACATCATGGAATTCTTTCCAATCTCATTTTTTCATTTAATCCCGTTTTACGTATTTTTTTTCATGGCAGAAATTGTGGCGGACAAATTAATTCATTTATTGAACGAGAACGTTTCGTCGACAAATTCTCCTAGATATGTTACTTTCGCATTCCGAGGTGTCGATTTTTGCTAAGGTCTATTTGTTTTCACTTCTCGTCTCCGGTATTTTTCTGCAAATAATTTTGCACGATCTTGCTCGTCTTAAATCGCCGCAAACACGAACAAAAGGAAATTGCTATCAGAAACGGAGGACTCGACGGACAGCTGCTTTCACGCATCATTTACGGTACCCGCTGCCGTTATTTTGAAATGACACCTCCTCCAGGTACAATCACACCGCCGAAAGAAGTGAGTGAAACCTTGTGTCACGCGATCTCCCGAAAATAAGAAAGTGAATACTCTTGGAGTGACACGTGCCACAGTGTCCCCTTTCCTTTTACAGCTGTTGACTTTTCAATCGAGGATTCAAGAAATATTTTTTCGAGTGTAGCAACCAACCCCCCCATCTGTCTCGCTTTTAAACCCGACGTTTATGCTCACATGTATGTACACTACCGCTCGTAATTATTCCAACGACAGATATTTTGTTACTTTACTGCGATGTCCTGTACTGTTGTTGGCACAGATAATACTTTATTTGAAGGATTGTTGTAGAGTATATCGGTTGTAATTATGTGTACACTAAATTTATATTATCGAAACAACGTTCGTCGAACTATTTTTAATTATCTTTAAATGAATATCATTTTATTTATTAAAATTACGCTTCCTATAAACGAAAAGGACATATGAAGGAAATTGCAAGAAAAGAAGTTTCCCACCATAAAATATCAGCGGAAAAAATTATAAAATTAATTTAACAAATTCCAAATGTTTGCAAAGCAGTGATGAAAGCAAAGATTCTGTATATTGTTGAATATTATAGAAAAAGGAATATTTCAGTCTTAAATAAAAATTTCTAAAATCTAGAATAAAACGATAGTATATGTATTGTCATTTGTGTCGAATATCGCGGGGCCAACTTCGTGCGTTGTAAGATGGAGGGAAAATTTATTCTAAACGCAAGAATATATAAACGCACATTTATATAAGCTACTCTTGTCTCAATATAGTAAGTCAATCTTTTTTAATTCGATAGAGGAGAATAAGAATTATTCATTTTATTGCGGTATCGTCTTATCTTTATATACTAAATGCGTCAAGAATATTTTTTGTCTCGGTAACGGAAGTCCTTTCCGAGGGTGCACCGTCAGGACAATTTAATTTCCGTCCTGGCGAACGTGTGCGTTGCACACCTCGAAGTCTTTCACTTCGGCATCGTCGTCGATTCGAGCTGCATCTCGACGGCCTGAAAAAGAATGAGACAACGGGAAGGATTTCTCCAAAGGGGAGGGGGGGGAGGCAGTTTTGAGAGAGTGCGGTGGAGAATTGTGCGTCGGGGGTTACTGTAACAGAAGTGGGACACTCGCGGCGAGAAGGGGTTGGCCCTCGCGCACTGTGACAACGGCAAAACTCGAAACGACGTCGTCGTCGGACTTGGCTTCCGGCCATTTCCCGGCTATCGATCCACGAAGCGTTACGACGAAGCTGCCCCACGTGCAATTATAGGTGTATCGTGTGTATATAACACGCACCGGCAACCGGGCGCATTATCCTCGTCCCGCAAGGATAGGCCACGAAATTTGTGCGCCGCGCGAGTCAGCCTCGCGGGGGTTGATCCTTGATTGATTACGTAAAGAGGCAAGCGCTGTTTGATCGTTAACTTATATCGGCAAAGTTACCGCGTCGTTTGAATTTATCAAATTTACATTTGCAATCGCGCGATTCAATCATAACGAGAGCTGGTTGCGATAAACCGGGATCTTACATTTGTTTTCGGACGTTCCACGGTTCTTTCTTTGTTACGTATTTACGACGACGACGGTGGAATGGCATTAACGTATTATAAATCTTTGTAACATTGACATTAACATGCGTTGTATTAATATATTGCCGGCCGCACGGAAAAGAGACGGCAGGCTATTCTTGGCGCGAGATAAATCGGTGTGAACGACTCCAGGTGCATACACCGAGGAAACCCCTCGCAATCGCTCGCAAACCCGTAGCCGGCGAACAGTCGCAGACGTATACGGTCGGAAGCGACCCAAATGCGAGCACAAGCGTAGATTAATAAACGTCGCCGCGATAATGAAATTGTACGCGTGACACGTGAAATTTGCAGCCGCGCTCTCCGCGTGTGACGTTGCCCATCGACCCAGAAATCGACCCAGAAATCGACCCGGGAATCTTCCCAGCGCGAACGACGTTCTCTTTACGTCGCCATTCTCAGAAGCGAACTCGTACAGCGCGAGAGACAAAAACGGCGAGTGTGCAGTTGTGGGGACACGAAGAGCTAGATTTGCCATATCGTCGTCGTAATCGCGTTTCGGTCAGGTGTAAGGAACACTGCGAGAGCCCGCCCTACATGAGTACAACACGAGCGTACGTTTCCACGTATGCGTGGAATCGATAACTGAGAATTAGTCTGCCCGGCTGTCTCCCAGAATTAAATGCGAGCGTACGGCAGGAGAAAAATTTAGTCGATCACCCTTGGGAACCGTGACTCCCGTTTACTACCGTGAATATAAAAAAAAATACTCGATTAAAATTATAAATTTATTTCTCTTCGCCCGGAGCCCTTTTTATGAAATAACTTCATACAATACACTTTTACTACCAATATTGCCATTAACAGTGGGGAAAAATTGTGGGATAAAGAAGACAGAATAATAACAATAACAAGTAGTGCATTGATAATTGAACGGAAAAAGCAATTTCAAGAGAAGTATATAATTTATCTACGAGTTTAAGATATCTTCTTCAAAGGGTGAAGGATTTAATTCAACGAACCGATAAATACGATAAAATTTGGATATAAAAATTATATGATGCGCGCAATTTAACGAATGAGAGAAAATAAATTCAAATTGTTTGCTTCCCTGCAACTTTCAGTAATATTTAAGAGCTGTTCTCTCAATGGAAAAAAATATGCTGGACTTTTTAATTTTAAAAGAAGTATAATATTTCTAAAACAACATACTGACACAAAGTATTTCCAATATAACACACATTTTTTATTTGAATTATTTTTCACAAAAATTTTATCAATATTCGGTTGAAACACATCGAGGTAATTAACGAAGAGCCTTTTTAACCCTTAAATTACTTTGCATTAAGGGCACATATACAAACAAATATGTGCCCTTTATTTTCAGCTGGTCTATCGAATATTCTAAAGTAATTAAAATCGATGATAAGCAGTCTGGAATAATTTTTATGACAGTAGCTTGTCAGCTGTGTCGTAACGCCTTCTCTTCTTTTTCTCGCGCTTCCCTGATATATCATGTGCGTATTCAGCGGTATTGTCCCATAATGAACGCGTAAGGAACACCAGCCGTTAGGGAAGGGGTGGCAAAGTAAACGCAGGGCAGAATAAACAAAAACGTACCCGTACGAGAGGCCGGAGAGAAAGGGAGACGGAGAAAATATCACTATAGACGGTACCGAGGATCAATACGTCACGAACACGGTCACAACTATTCGTGCATACACGCGAGACTGCACCCCGTACCGACCATCGTATTCAGAGATAATTTTTTTTGCATATTACAATTACGCGCATCACCGAACGAGTCGACTCACATCAATGTGAGATTGTTACGAGATGAAATGTGTACTATGTTTACAATGCTTAATGTACAAGATAAATTATTATCTCTCTCTTCAATTTATTTTGAAGTTTAGTCGTTCCTAATTCTTACATTTGGTCCAACAGAGAATTCTTCGCAATGTTTAAGCGTGTCTAATCGTTGAAAATTATAAATAAGTCTATTACAGATATTTTTTTCTTATATACCGATAATCTAGGGAGGTAGAGTTCTTAAACTACTTTATCCGGTCTTTATCGATGTAAAAATTTTCTTTCGTCCCAATCGTGATTAAAAGAAAATATTTTTATTACTTTTAAAACAATTATATATAGATTATTTCCTGATATCCGGGTTTTTTAACGTTTTTATTGTTAAAATTATTGCGTGTCTAATCGTATCGTTCAAAAACGGAATTTCCTAATAAAAAAGAATATGTATTCTCCCTAAAGAAAATTTCATCTCTATTACATAATTTGATAAAATATCATAAAACTGATAAATAGATAGATAATCCTGAACAATTTTGGTACATTAAAGGGAAAATAATTCATAACACCTGCATATGTATAAATATTTTCACATAAAACAATTACAAATATAAAAATAATCTTGATATATCCACTAAAGAGACATTCTTATGGATTAAGCCCTTAGTTAATGCCCATTCATCGTATAATCATACTCTGTTCTTTGATTTCTTGATTCAAAAATATTAATTTTTTACATTTAGAAACAGACAAGTACTTTTATCTCGGATAAACATATTTTTAAAAATATTTTTTCTTCAGAATTTTTAAAAATATTACTTGTCTCTTTTCTTGCGAATATGATAAATATCACACAAGTTTATGAAAAAGTGTCAGTGGTGATAAAAGTAGCAGTGACGTTAAAAGTTTCCAACATTATTTCAGTCGAATTTGTTCCTTTGTGACACTAATTATTCAAGATCAGACAACTCCAACCTGATGACATTCGCCAAAACAGATTGTTCACCTTCAGTTCTTAAAATCCCTGTATTTAAAAGAACATTCGACATAGAAATCTTTTACATGTTATTGTGAAAAAGTGACGTTCCGAAGACCATTTTTTCAATCTTAGTGTGCGTTTCACTTTTACTCAAAATCAGTTGCCATGTCAGTTGTCATGATTTTACATAACTTTCTATTTATTATATTGTACTTTCATTAAGTTTTATCATGAAGCTCATTCCACGAGTTTGCACGACACGGGTATCCTAGTTGAAAAACTCTTCAACTTCCGCCAATTCTCTCATTCGTGCCTCTTGATGAGCCCAACGGTCTTCCGCCAGCTTGTCAGATAATCCCCATTTGTCATGATAGACACGTTGACCGCAACTCGGACATTTCTTACCCCCTTCGACAAAAATAATTTCCTTCTAACTGTTCCATAACATGATTTAATGTCTAAATAAAAATGGTGTTCATACCATGGAATGGCGGAGTCTTCATGTATGTCACGAGACATTTCAAATGGAAGAGATGGCCACAGTAAAGTCTCTCGGCATGGAAATCCGCGTTTTCGTCGGTCACTACCTCTTCCGGGTTTGTTGGCAAGCACGTTACTTTGCAGTGTTGACAGGGTTCCTGCGGAAAGGCTTTCACACTCCTGCACAAAACAGAATAAAATTAAAAAGAATAGCAACAGCAAAAACTGCTCAATGTAAGTGTAAAAATTACTTTATGAGAAAAGAAACAACTGTGTTTAATGATGGCGATGGCGCGAACGGCTTTTGCTGTTTTCTCGACGGTGGCTCGACGCATTGTCTTGCCAATTCCCTTCCTTGTCCAACTAGATAGCGATTGAACAGCGGTGGAAAGTTTGTGTCGACATCGCTGAACCTGCAAACACGCGGCGCAAATTAGTCGCAATGGGTTTCCACTTGTCATGCAGCTGTATTAATTTTTCAAGAAAAAAGACTCGACATACGTCACACAACTGATGGGATAATTATCCGGCACCTCAAGCTTAGTCTTAAAGTGATACGAACTTTGGTGTAGCGTTAGATTAATGGAAGAATTCTTCTGCTTCAGCTTCAACTCATCCCTATCCTCTAAAAGTCTCTTCAGCGTTGATATTTCCTCGTAGCAGCAAATGAGAGGATTATCCTCGACAAAATTCCTGATGAACTTCAACACCGGCAAGATCTGCAAGTACAGCAACTTTTAGTAGAGAATAAAAATCTTCAACGCAACCGATACACCACAGTACAGACCTGCGCCTCGTTGAGGAAACGCTTGCACTCTTTTTCGCAGACCTCTGCTAGTCCATCGAGCAGCCTGGCGGACAGAGTTTTGCTCTTCAACTCGATAAACAGCGGCGACGCGGGGTAGTCCTCTCGGAACTGGATGCACACGACGAGTTGCTTGAACGGCGTCTTTCTGCAAGATTAACGCAAGTGGCAGCGATGGGGCGGTGATTCTGTCGTCGCGACCAAGTCCCGGGCGTGATGTTCCCTTACGTTATTTCGACGCGGACCATGCTCCGCACGCAAGAGACGAGGCGGCTTCCGTCGACGACATTGTGGCAGAGCTGTGATACCTCTTGCAACTCATTGTCAATAAATCCCATGAGCGGGTGAGGACGCGCTTGGAAGGGACCCTCGATAGTCTCTTGGCTGCGTGAAAACGATCAGAAAATCGACACGATCATGACATAACCTCACGGCCGAGCGTTGCGAGGGTTGCGAGCTGCGTGGCGGAAGCGACGAGCCGGGACTCGGCGAATACTGATCGAGAGATCGCTCTTTAAACGATCTCCTAGCCCCTCGACGTTTTCGCAAGAGGTTGCGAGATTGACCGAGCGCGCGTAAAAAAACTTGCGCACACATAGAAAGGGTAATACACCTAGAAACGTCACGTGACACTGTCGTGCGTGCGTGCACTGTTTAGGAAGCGATTAGAGGGCTAATGAAGGATTAGGGTGTACTTAGTTATCAGCTCCGAGGCAGATAGTTGCTTAGAAAGGGAGAGAATATTAAGTAACCGAAAATATAAAGCAATTTCTTTTCGTACTCTTCGGATACTTTTCACTGCTCTTCCAGCAGAAGAGTCGATTCCTGGTGAAAATTTTTCTCAGAATTTTTAGACGACCCTAGCGGAAAAATAACTACAAAAAAATTGACTTGAAACAGAAATTTGTAGAAAACTTAATATCTTCGTTGAAACATAAATTTTTGTTGTAAAAATATGTTGTTATTGGTCTGGTTTGGTGTTGGCTCCCGATCCAGCGACAGGATCGACACGGCCACTTGTAAAAATATCTACGAAATATAGTATCACCAGAGAGAAACATATATGAGAGTGGCCATCCCGACGTTTTGCCTGTTACCGTTTTCGCTCGACTGATTCCAGCGCTTTACGCCCATTTCCATTTTTGGAACTATTCCGCTACACCCATTTTCAAGTACTGCCGATAAAGTCTCTACTTGGTGCGTGTCCGTGCTACGCCCATTTTTCAAGCGAGTAATGCAGTGCCCAATTTTGGTTGTATTCCGTGATGCATGCATGAAATGTCGGTAACAGGAGAGTGTTATTGATTTTTCGTAACGGGAGCGAGCGAGAAGGTATAAGAGCAAACGAGATGGCAATAAGAGCGAGCCAGACAGTA